TTGGAACAGAGGGGCGTAAAACGATGGCCCACAAGTGCCTCCAAGTGACAAAGCATATGAGTACATTTTGTTCCGTGCAAGTGACGTAAGGTATGCCAATATTCATATTTAGATTTTTGTGCTATGTATGGTGAGGCCCAAGATTGTTGATTATGGTTCTGCAGGAATCAAGCCTAATATTCAGGTCAGAAGAGGTTTAGTGGGTAAACTTGCTGATTTTCAAACAAGATAAAATTGTGAAAAAGTGCATCTCCACCTAATTTCAAAAGAATATGTATTCTCTGAAATAATCACTAAAATAGAGCAATTTCTATAGCATAAATCTTGAATATTTTGAAAGAATACTTGATATATATTACCAGCTCTGGCGATCTGAAAAATACAATCTGATTGGAAATGAAACGATAATGACTTCTTGCACTTTTGGTTGACGGTCCCTATGCTAACACGGGCTTTCTTAGTGCTTTGTTATTTTTCACTTTATTTTTTAGAGGTGATTGACCGGAAATCATATTTCTGTGCATCCCGTTTCAGGTATTACATGTCAAATCTTCTCCACCTGTTCAAAGTACCTCTAGTATATTACAATGATCCTGCCATATATACAGGTAAAATGGATCTTATAAATTCCCATCAGTGGACCAATCCCCGCGCACAAGGTGGATTTCGTATTAATATAGCAGATACTTGTTTGGAAAATTTCTTAGTAAGCTGTTTAAATTGTTTCATTTCAAATCCATGACTTCTCTGGATATTTTATGCTTGCATCGTATTTTTTTAGCTATAAACTCATTACTCCAACTCATTTCTTCTGCAGTCTCACTATGTTGCATCTACAAGCTTGCCTTCTGCTGGTACTGGATCTTCACAACATCTTATTTCTCATGCTTCACATGTGGGACTACCCATGTCAACAGTCCAATCCAGTCTTCCCTTATATTCCCCCAGTGGGAGTTCAGGGTCATGGATTTCATCACTTCCTCCAACCACTAATGGCACACCGGGCTTGAGGAGCCAATGCATCAGCAAGGATTCTATGGGGCTTCAGTTGGGCTTCAAGCCCAGCACCAATATTGTCTTCAACCCTCACCAGGCTTGTCAAATGGCACTTTCCATGCCGGCGATGCTGCAATCAATGCCATATCCTGCTATTAGTGCATTTTTACCTAGTGGAGCTTCTAACCTACCAGCTACAAAGTTGGCAGATTTTCCACCTCCTTTCCTGCCACGTTTCAGCAACGGCACCCTGAATCAGAACTCATCTATACTTCCCATTCTGTCTACTGCCATAGCTTCAGACTCAACAAGAGCTTTGATGTCTGACAAGGCTTCTACTCCAGCTCTTCCTGAAACTTTTACTACTAGCCTGCCATTGGCATCTTCATTTGCTACTCTTTTGGATAAGAGTGCCATTACACCAGCTGTTTCTTGATAGGCTGAAGACTAATACTAGTATGATACTGCCGTATAATACTGCCTCTGAACCTGAGACTGCTGCTGCTGGGACATCAGGTTCTTTTCTGAATGAGGGATCCCCACTTTCTTCAGCAACCCCGGATCAACTTTTGCAGTCTGGGCCTACATCCCAGCCTTCCCGAACAACTCAGCGGGCTGTTCAGGTATCATCTTCAGAACATTCGCTACCAACAGGAGCAGAAGCTCTGGGACCGATACTCCCAATGCCAACGATACTTCCTCTGCCTGTGCCACCTGATCGCAAGGTATTCCCGTCACATCCATAATTTACTCTGCCAAACTTCAGATGCTTGTGTTTTATTTATGGACAACTTCCAGTGACATCAGATCTGGTGTTTTGAAAGGTCTACTAATTGTTTTTTTTTTCCTGTTTCTTGGCTAAAATTCTGTCTTTGTTTCACTTTCTTTCTCAATTTCTTTACTTTCTCTGGGTCTTATTTTCAGATTATCTCTGGTGTGGTGGGTGAAGTGCAAGATTAATGCTTACTTGATTATTTATTTGCAATTCTTTGATTTTTTGGTACATTTCATTTTATTTTATTCTTGTGTTCTTGATTTTAGAAGCCATTCTTAGTGAATTTTCATAAAGTGCAATGAAGTTGCAATGTAATTTTGATGTTGATGCGACCTTCACTAGGGCTAGAAGATAGTAAAGAAAATGATAAGGGACAAAACAAAAGAAGACAGAATTATTCAGTTGGACAGAGGACATATAGACAAGGGAAAGAGGAGACATAGGGTAAGGTAATGTAAGAGGAGATAGAAAGAAAAGGTGAGGAGAAGCGTTAAAGGTGTTTGAGCGACGTAGAAGATAAAAGAGGCAAGAATCACCCGCAAACCGGTAAAAAGAAAACACAAATGCAGCTGCTTTTACTTACAAAGTGAGCATAGAATGTAGCTGCCTTTACGTACAAAGTGAACATAGAATGAAAGCAATGGGAGAGGAAGTCGGCCAAAGAGGGAGATAAAACTCTAAAAGACCTTTTCACTGAAACACACTTTAGGTCCAAGAGGTCCCTTTTGAGGTCTTAGAAAACCTTTATACAAAAAATAACACAGCAGGGCATTATTACGGTGAGAGGACAATTTTTGTTTTTGAACCCCTTAATTATGAAAAATGCAGCAATATTGTTGGAAAATACGCTTACTAAGGTTGATTACCACAGGTTATACCTACCATATCAGTTCCTCGTTGATCATAGGACAGATAAACCTTAAAAATTCTACTTATTTGCAGTCTGTCCTAATCAGCAGTCTAGGATGTTGGGGTCATTTTGTGTGATGTTAGCGTGTGGAGTGTGCGTTTCTTACCTCTTGTTTTTCACCCAATATGAATTTTCTAGATGTCCATATGATACTCTCTTTCAAACATCCACTAGATTGAAGTGTATGAGGGCTGATAACCATGGGGAAGAGGAGGGGGGGGGGGGGGGGAGGGGAGAGTGGGTGAGGGTTCAATCTCAACTCAACTCAAGCTTTGTCCCAGCATTTTAGATGAGGGCCGAGTCTGAGTTAACAACATTCACCATGCTTGTACCTCTGTCTTTGGTGTAAATCCACGCATTGCTACCAGATTAATGTAAAATTTGGACAGCCGAATTGTTCTTCTCATCATTATTAAAATCGAGCATAATCAGATTCATTGGGCTGCTCTGTCCTTGAATTCTTGGTATTATTTGAACCCTCGTTAATGAAAAATGTTCAGATGGCACCATCCATGGTATTAGTAACATGTGCATCCATTCATCCTGTGTAATCTTAATTTGGATTATTTCTGTGGGTTGAAACCATCCAACTTGTTCTGTTTTTTTGCTCCCTTTTTTCTATTTTACTTTCTAGTTCAGTGGAGTTCCTTCAGTCACTCGTGGCAATCGTCGAGGGGATCATGAAAGATCCAGAGGAAATGGGGTAATATGTTACTTTTTGTTGCATTTGAGATACAATTTATTTGTACTTTGGTGATCTAATAACAAGAACCTTATGTGGATCAGTTTCAATGAGTTTTGCCTTGGAGTTATGTATCCGTGGCCTTGTAGTGTCTCTCTAGCTGAACTGTACAATGTTGTGTATTGATCTTGCATGCAGTTGCATCCAGTGACCAGATTCACAGAGGATTTTGATTTTATTGCAATGAATGAAAAGTTCAAGAAGGAAGAAGTGTGGGGTGATCTTAGTAAAAATAATGCAACTCAAAATGGACATGGTTCACAAGATGAGGAAGATGCAGGACCGTCAAAGATTGAGAGTAAGGTATTTCTTTCCTCTTAGGTTTCAGTACATACATATACTCTCGATTCAACAAAGTATTAATGCTACTACTTGGGGTCTATGTGAATTCTTTTGCCATTCTATACTCGCAAGAACATAATCTGTATTTTAACCACATGCTACCACGGCCTTCCTTGCTACCCCATTGCAGATAATTAAATTTGACGTATATGTGTGTAAAATATATTACTAGTGCATTGTCACAAGAGTTCCATAATTTGTTGTTTTACAAATGGTTGGTGTTTTTTGGTTCTGATGCCCTGTTTTACAGCCTGCTTACGTTAAGGATGACTTCTTCGATTCCCTATCTTGCAATGATTTCGGTCACGGATCGGATAATGAGAGGACTAAGTTCTCTGAACAAAGAAAAATAGATGTAGAGGTACTGTTCCAAATCCTTGTGGCAACTTCTTGGTAAATTTGCATAACTAGCTTTTTGCTTATTTTCTTTTGGTCTTTCTCATTTTTTCTGCTTTCCCTCCCATCAATTCTGACATAGTAGCCATGGAAGAACCTTGTCAAAGACCATCATTATCTTCTCTTCTTCCCCATTCCTTTATCACTGTCAATCAAACAATTCTCATGATGGTGATATTGCTTTTTGCAGACATTTGGTGATGCCAAGAGATATCATGGGGATTGTGGTCGTGGTCGTGGTCGTGGTCACGGCTGTGGTGGTTTTCGTGGGTTTGGTCGTGGTGGCCATTCACGTGGTGCTTATAAAGGGAGGAGCTATGGTTATAACGGGAGAGGTCGAGGGCGGCAGGCATAGGATGTAGCAGTATGTCAAAGTCTAACCACACTTATACAACAGCACTTGGGGTGGTGTGTTGCAATAAGTTGAACCTAAATTCTTAGCTAGCCTGCACTTCAGAGCAGGAATAAGTCGATACCCCTGTTCTTTTCTTTCTTTTATTGGATTCTTTTCGTGATTGTTATTATATTCCTCTGGTAGTTGCTCCGAAGGACTTGTCCTGGTGCACAAGCAAAACCCTAAAGATGAAGAGATTTTTACTTCACTCTACAGGAAAACAACTATCCGATTGACCTCAAATGATTTTATTTTCTCCTAATTTCACCAGCTCAACTATGAGTTCAATTTATTTATTAATAATAATAATAATAATAATTACTATTATTATATTAAAAATATGTTGAATGCAAATAAATAAATAAAATTCAATACAATATTGTTATCATTTTAGTCTAGACGTTGACAAACAAACTTCGTTACCCTAAAATATTGGTAGAAGTCCCATTCTTCAAAATAATATAATTTTTTATATATATAATGATATCAAATTTCATTGTACACAGAAGGATAATAATTTTTGACATATTACAAAAATATAATTTAAAATTGATATAAAATTAATAAATTAAAATTAATTATTTTTTAACATAAATAAATACATAAGTGATACAAATCAAATTAATAACAGGTTTTGTGACGACTTTTAAGCGTCCAACGTGGAGGCACTTGTTGAGGAGACTCAAAAGGGTTTGAAAAACTAGCCTGATCCGATTGGGGACAATTTTTTGATTTTCCATTACCAGACAGATCTGAACACAAAACCCTAGATTTCTGAATCCTCCAACCGCCCTATAAACTGTGCAATCGCCATTGATGAACACCTTCTCTGCGTAGAGCACATATCCTTTGTGTTTTCTTCTCTCCGTGGAGTCGTTGGCAATGGCGGTTCCGGTGGTCAAGTTTCCGATCTTCTATGTGGTGAGGTTCATCGGAATCGCAGTGGCATTTCTGGTACTGACGTGGACTCTGCATTACAGGGGAGGATTGGCTCTCATCTCCGACGACAAGGACCTCATCTTCAATGTATGTTCTTTTTTCGAACTCCTATCCTCTGCTGCCATCACACACACACACACACACACACGCACGCACAGTTTTTGTTGCTAGGTTTGTTGTTGTACTGTTAAAAATAAACGTACGTAATCCAATCAGGGACATGGATTCTCGCTTAAGGTTTGTGTAGAAAGAGAAATGAGGTAATTTAATTCCCATGGGGCTACAATATATTTCGTTGGTTTATTACTGGAGCCGTGGTTGTTGAATTGTTCCCATGGAAGGGTTGATAGCTCTGATTGGTTCATGGGAACAAGGAGAAGAAGGGAAAGGAAAAGGAAGAGAAAAAGATAATAGAAAAATAAAATTTACACAAATGACACCTTCTTGTGTATTACCAATGCACCAAATTAACTTGACTGATCTATTCGGAATTTCAAATGGCTTCTGAACAGTGCTGAGGTATTTTGACCTCTGATCATGTTGGTTCAGGATACACAAAAATTGATTTTATTTACAATTCTTCCCAATTGTTTCATTGATGGCTTCCATATTAGTAATCCATTTGGGTATATTTGATTCTCGCTTAAGATTTGTGTAGAAAGAAAAAATGAGACAATTTAATTCCTGTGGGACGACAATATGCCCTTGGTCTATTATTGGAGCCGTAGTTGTTGAATTTTTCTCATTTAAGAGCTTATAGCCTCTGATTGGTTCATGGAAACAGAGACACAAATAGCAAGGAAAAGGAAGAGAAAAGATAATGAAAAATAAAATTTATTTCATGGATGATTAAAAACATTTTTGTGTTCCATGGATGACAAGAAACATTTTTGTGTTCTGTTTGCTTATCTTGGTGTTATTGTTGTTGTTGTGTATCTTCTACAGGTCCATCCTGTTTTAATGGTCATTGGCCTTGTACTTTTGAATGGTGAAGGTGAGTTTGGTTTTCTAGGGCATTTGTTGGCTATATTTATTTGAATTTCACTTCAAAGTTCTTCACTGTAATGTGGAAAATGCGATGATTTTTATGTGTTCTGGATACGCAATGTGTGGTGTGACAATACAGTGGAGTTGGTTAGGTCTGTATGCTCATATTCTGTTGTGTCTCTATGTATCTACAAGTGAATGGAGAACATTGTGGTAACCTTTTCTCGTCTCATGTGAATCAATTGTGGTGGACTTGTTAGATATTAAATTTCTGTTGGGATATAATGCTGAATTGATGCAATGTAAACTTTCATGTGTTATCAAGAGTAAAGAGAAATATGACTGATGATTTATCTGTTCTCTTGGTCTATAAGTGATTTGTTGCCAATGTTGTCATTTCCCCTTCCTTCCTGTTACTTTTAGAATTATGCTTTTGATTTCTTGGCATGGGTTGATGCAGCCATGTTGGCCTACAAAACGGTTTGTGGAACCAAAAGCTTCAAAAAGTTGGTTCATCTGTCTTTGCAATTCCTGGCTTTTTGCTTGAGCATAATTGGTGTATGGGCTGCATTAAAGTTTCACAATGATAAGGGCATTGACAACTTCTACAGCCTGCATTCATGGTTGGGTCTTGCTTGCCTGTTCTTATTTGGCGTCCAGGTCCTTTACTTGTTCTCCTTGCCTCCTCTCCTTTCTCTTTTCCTCAGTGTAAAACATATGCTTACCAATAGAGATAAAGTTATTTATTTTTGGGAGAATACGGAGCTGTCAAATTACATCATTTCATTTTTTTCATAATTCCTCCCGCGCAGTGGACTGCTGGATTTGCAACCTATTGGTACCCTGGTGGTTCAAGGAACAGCAGAGCTACCTTGTTGCCATGGCATGTATTCTTTGGGGTTTATGTTTATGCCCTTGCTGTTGCTACATGCACCACTGGTATTCTGGAGAAAGCCACATTTCTTCAAACCAACAAGGTAATATCACGTTACTCTGTCGAGGCATTGTTAGTGAACTCTTTGGGCATCTTGATTGTTGTTCTAGGTTGTTTTGTTATTCTTGCACTCATCTCTCCAATGAATGGGAAAGGTGACACTCTCAGAGGACCAAAAGAGTAGAGCATGAGTTTACCTGTTTGAAATTCAATCTTGACTAAGAGTTGTATCTTCAACGGGCTTGTACTTGTACAGATGTAAATTTTTTTTTTATAGAGAGAGAGAGAGAGAAAGCGCGACAGATGAAACTGAATAATGAATAATTTTTCCTTGATTGGCTATTTATAGTTAAATAGATGATAATTTCGATTTATAACAGGTTGGTATTGCGAGTGGCAGTTGTAAGATGCTATAACCACACTTTCCTTTACCGTTATGCTTATGTGCTGTTTTACATGCTTCTTATTGCTATTTCTCATTAAGAATTTACCATATTGACCTTCATTACATAGCACATCGAGCCACACAAACTCAAATTTGTAACACCTTGAACACGTGGACCCATGGCAGATTATTAGTAAAACTTTGAACAGGATAGATGTAAAATTGCACTGTACTGTTTGAAATGTTTATATTCTTTAGGAGTGTCCATGGTCTGGGTCGGGCCAGGCCTGTGAATTTTTTTGGGTGGAGCCTAATAAAGTAGGCTCAAGTTCTTACTCAAGCGGGTTATCGACCGAGCAGGGTCGATGTAGGTTACCTACAGCCCAGTCTACCACTCATTAGGCAATTATATATATATATATTAGGCGTAACCTGTACTTAAAGGTACGGTGTAATATATATCAACCGATTTATTTAAAAAAATGTACTGTAATTTGCTTTAATTAAAGACATTGAAATCATTATAGACAAGTTGACATTTGTTGGCAATTACTATTTTGACAAAGATTGCTCTAACAACAGAAGTTGGGAAATTAACAATTCACAATTAGACATAACAATAATCAATAATTAGAATTCATGATCAAAATTCTCCCAAAAATACCATTTCGGACCCACCAAACAAAAGAAGCATCAATTTCAATCAAAATACATCAATCACACGTGTGTTTAGTTCACTTTATTAAGCTCAATTCACACATCAGACACGCAAAAAAAAATCTTAGGCAAACAACCAATGATTGAAAAAACTTTGCAATCCACGAAAATTTGATTAATTTCATGATGGTTATTGTTTATTTCATTTAATTAAAGGAAGTAAAATCAATGTAGTAAAAATATTTTTTTGGGTCACATAAATCAATTAATCTAGAAATAACTTGATTTTTTTTTTTTAAAATTTCAACATGATTTCTTTTGAAAATAAGATACCATAAAAATATGAATCTATATGCGGAATTGACAAATGGCCGAAACAGTCTCACAAAATCAACAATCCATACCCAACAACCAAAATAACAAGCAATTTCACATAAAGCCAAAATAAATCTCCATAAACATTAATTAGTTTACTGTATTAAACACAGAATAACAAAAATCCACACAAATTCGATGAATTTGATACATGTTAGTATTTATATCATTCAATTAAAGAAAATTAAATCAATCTAATAATAACCTGTTATTTTTGCAAAATTTTGATGAAATTTCCTTTAAAAATAGGAGATCATAGAAATGTCAAACTGTATACATAACTGTAAAACAAACATTACAATCCCCAAAATCAAACAATCCATACCCAACAACCCATGCCCAAGGGCACGACGCAACCGCAATTGTACATCACAGTTTAAAATTGAGTTGGTGTCTACCCTGAAAATGAACAATATAAAATGTAAAAACATAGCAATTTTATGTACACCTGAATATACGATACAATTTTAGGAATAATTTACGAGCGTATTTAGACTGTATATAATATATCCACCATATCATATGTTTACCCGGTTGTTATATCCAAAATAACACAGTGTTTTTGATCAGTTGCAGAATAGACAACTACATGATAATCAGAGTTGCTGTGGGGTATGAAACGACAGCCTTGCGGAAACAATCGGCCAACGCATCCAAATATTTGGCTATTCTGCAAAATGTAATTAAGCCTAGCATCCCAATAATAAAAAACTCTGCATAAATCAACAAAGAGTCCAATAAAGAATAAAAAACCCACAAAATCATCTGAATAAACAAATTTTGACCTCTTCATCCCTTTTTTTTTACAATAAAATTGAAATTAATAACCCTCTTAGCCACTCACATATAATCTTTCACTCTCTTTAATACAAGAAAGCTTGGCTTCAGATCACAAAATTCATCAGGTAAGTTTTGCTTGTGACAGGGATAAAGTTGCAAAGAAGTGACATAA